GTTTTTGCTATTTATTTTGTGGTTTTGTTTTTGAGGCCTTTTTGGTTCATTTGTTTTTGTGTCTGTGTGGGACCCAGTTCAGCTACTGATTGATTGATTGTGTGACTGTGGAAATGGATAAAAGCCAAACAATGACTATCACCAGTGCAGGTAAGAAAAAAATAATAATTTTAATTTTTATCATCTACAATACTGTCTTATTTATTTTATAGTACAGTACATTGATTATTGCTTTCTTTTTATGGATCAATGGTTTTGTTAGATAGTAAAATTCATGTTAAATTGCTGTTTTAGCAGTTGTTTTTAAAAGTCTGGAATGGATTAATCTATTTTGCATTACAGTTATACCTCGTGTTACGTTTGCTTCACACTGTGGCTTTTCAGGTTACGAACACGGCAAACCCAGAAGTGTTTACTTCTGGGTTCACCCGTGCGCGTGCACAGAAGCGATTTGTGCACTTTGTGCATGCACAGAAGCGCTCTATTGCGCTTTGCGCACAAACAGTAGCGGTGCTCTACTAATTGACTTTTTGGGGTGCGAATGGCACCCCGAAACGAATCGTGTTCATAAGTAGAGGTACCACTGTACTTTCTATGGGAAAGCGCGCCTTGGTTTTGGAATGCTTTGGTTTTAGATTGGACTTCCGGAACGGATTAACTTTGAGAACCAAAGTACCACTGTAGTGTATTATGAGGCTGCTGGATCAGGCCAATGGCCATTCTAGTCCAGCATCCTGTGGCCAACCAGATGCCTGTGGAAAACCCGCAAGCAGGATTCAAGCAGAACAGTGCCTTCCCCTCCTGTGGTCCCAGCATCTGCGATCCAGAAGCATTGCTGCCTTGAACTGTGGAGGCAAAGCCGAGCCATCATGACTAGCAGTCATCGAAAGCCCTCTCCTCTTCCATGAATTTGTCTAATCCTTTTTTAAAAGCCACCCGGGTTGGAGGTCATGCCTGCCTCCTGCGGGAGCGAGTTCCACAGTTCAACGATCCGCCGCGTGGTTAATTGGTGATTGACAGAGGACGGTTAAAATCAGAGCACGGAAGACCCTTTTGGCACAGCGCCCTGAAACACATCAATATGGGTGGGATGAACCTTTGGTCTTATCCCGCAGGGCTCTCCTTATATCCTTGCATCTCTCTCTCTCCCCTCACTCACTCCCCCCAGATTGCTATACATTCATAAACAAAATCAGAAGATGACTTTGAGAGCTGAGAGCAGGGAGGAAGGGAGTTGAGTTAGCCATAGGGTTAAGCCTCCCTTGTATCACAGATAATGATGGTGTGAAGCAGGATTGTGGCGCCCCGGCTCCGTGGCATTTGCCTACATTTGCACTAACTAGGCCTGTATTGGCGACCGTCCAAGACCCCAAAGGCTGCGTTTAATTTGCATGCAAATTTACAAGGATTTAAGTGCCTTAAAATAAACAGATCCTGCCAACCCGCTTGTAGCTCCATCTCCCTTGACAGATTTGTGGAAATTGGCTAGTGGGCTGTTTGTGTGTGTGTGTGTGTGTGTGTGTGTGTGTGTGCGTGCAGCGGCAAGGCCTGTGGAATCAAGCAGCTTCACCTCCTCATGGTTCCCGCCATCGGTGTCCTCAAACCCTCGTCTGTACCACTTCCCTGTCCGGCAGCACAAGAGTCACAGGCGAAAGGGTCCCTCTCGGGGAAGGGAAAGTTTGTAACTCCTTGGTCCCGAACCGCGGCGAGACATAATCGGCCAGGAAGCGGATGTTGAACTGCCGGCCGATGCAATAGACCAGGTTCTCGACGACGGCACACTGGAAGCTGGTCAGGAAGGGCATGGGGTGGGTGGCACACTCATACCAAAGCTTGGCCCTGGCACCACAGCGGTAGACACTGATGCCCATACTCCGGTTCAGGTCAAAGCGGTAGATGAACCCATTGACGGTCACCATCTCTGTTGTCCGGTCTTTGTTTCCACCGGTGAGGCTGAACTTCCACGTATCCGTCTGCCCAACGTATCTCAGCAGCATGTAGCGCAGCGTGCCCCCCGTGACGTAGATCTCTCCATCGCACGCCGTGGCGGTGTGGGCCACGGCGAAGGTATCGTTGGGCAGTGGGGCGGCGAAGGTCCAGCGGTCCAGGCGTGGGTCGTAGCGCTCGACGGTGTAGAGGCACTCCCCGCCAATGGCGTACAGGTAGCCATCCAAGGCAACCAACTTGCAGTGTGGCCTGGCTTGGTTCAGTGGGCAGATCTCGCGCCAGATGTTGGTCAAAGGGTTGTAGCAGAAAACCCGGTTGGACGGCTTCTGGCGCCTCCCCCGTCCTTCGCAGCCGGCCGCCACAAAGAGGTAATTGAACATGCTGCACATGGCACAACCCTTGGAGACGACTTCCAGAGGCACGTGAGTCAACAGGTGCCAGGTATCCTTTTGGTCGTCGTAGTAGCAGAGCCTGCTTGCATGCTGGTTCTCGCCCTGAGAGCTGACGTCCGCCACAGCCACGTACTTCCTCCCCCGCATCCTCCGCTGCAGGATCAGGTCCCTCTCCATGCCGTTGAGGCGGCTGTAGATTGCATGGGTCCTGAGCACCTGGAGGTAGTTGTCGCTCATGACCTTGTAGGCCGCTTCCCGAAGCGTCTCCAGCTTCTGCTTCTTGGCCATACACAAGACCTCGTAGCAGTTCCCCAAGTCCAGGTGGATGTCGATGGAGGACTCTGAGCTGAGCGGGATGTGGAAGAACTTGGCGCCAGCCACCAGCTCCACTGTGGGTTCCTCACTCGTGTCGCTTTGGAGACTCTGCATGGACCCGACCAGTGAAGAAACGGAGCTGGAACGGAGGGGGCTGAGAGGTGGCGTGTCCAGTCCTGACAGCCCAGAAGCCAGACAGCCAAACCCTTCCATAGGGACCTGAAGCTCTGGGTTGTCTATGATTTGATGGAGGCTGTCTTTCCGGCTGAAGCTGCCAGCTCCAGGTCCTGGAGGTTTCTTGGACCTCCTTTCTTGGACAGCAGCCTCATCCTGGCTCCCAGGTTGCCGGGGCTTTGTCTCATCCTGGATAAGATGAGGAAGAGCACCAGGAGATGGAACATCCTCAGGGTCATCTTCTACTGCTGAGGACTGGGCTGATTCCTGACCCAACCGCTCATCAGAAGCATCAGGGATGTTGATCACAGGTAGCTGAGAAAATGGTTGGGTACCCAGGCTGGTGCAGGAAGGCATTTCCTTCAGGACTGACTGGGAGATGGACTGAACGTAGTAATCATAGACTTTGCCTCTCAGGCTGGTCCCAGGGACCCCTGGTTGCCCATTACTGTTCTCCTGGAACTTCCGCTCTTTAACAAGGCTCTCCTCCACCTGAACTTGGGCCACAGAGGAGAACATGTACGTGGTGTGTGACCCAGCATGGCTATGGTTCATCTTCAGGCCCATGTCAGAAGTGGCATGGAACGACGGACGGGTCCTCTCCTGCTCCTCTTGGGTCGGGGCTAAATGCTGCCTCTCCTCTTCTCCAGGTGGATCACTTCTCCCTCCTCCTAAAGTGGAGCCATTCTCATCTGCAGGGTGAAGTGCTGCATGTCCAGATCCCTCCTCCTGAGCAGCCAGGCAAAGTCCATCTTCTGCAGAGCTGACATCCTTGTGGCTGCCGTTCAAACTGCAGAAGCTGCCTTCTGGGGAGAGCAAACCCAGAGAAGGCAACCTGCCCTCTGACTCCTTTGCAGTCTCTGTGACTGCGGCAGTGTTTCCGTTGCTGAGGACAGCACCAGAAGTCTCCCCTCCCTTCTCCTCTTCTGCCACGGAGCATTTTCTGTCTGGGGGCAGCCCGCTTCCCAGGTGACTCATCCTCTCCTTCTCCTGTTTCTTTACCTCTTTTTCCCCATCCGGCTCTCTGCAGGCAGGTGTATTTTGCCCTCTAGATTCCCCAAAGACTGCAGGCCCAGGTGCCCGAAGCGGCGGGTTACCCCCTGCCCTGTGGTTCGGCTTCTCACCCTTGCTGTTGACCCACCGGTGCCTCAGTCCAGGGGGCAGTTCTTCCTCCCTGCAGCAGACCATGCTCTCCGTCCCCTCTGCGTCTTTGCTGCCCTTGCCTCTCTCCCCGCTGGCTCCTTGCTGGCTGCCGCAGGGCACTCGAGACTTGTAATATCTATACGCCAAAGTCAGTAGGAGGAAGGCGGCGGCCGAGAGGGCCACCCTAGCAGCCAGCTGCATATCTGAGGTCTGCTCTCCGCTTACCTGGACGCCGGGGGTCATCCTTCCATACCACGCTTGGTGCTCAGGAATGAGAGAAATCCGAGGTTAATTATTTCTTGAACAGGGGCTGGCTCCAAGCGGCCAAGGCCTGACTCCCAGGAAGGTGACTTTTACCTGTCGACAGGTAGAGAACACCGCAGGCTCCCTGGTTGGTCTCCCTCCCTCCCTCCCTCTCTGTATGCCAGGTGTCTGCTTACCATAGGAGGTTTGCATATTTGAACAAGGTGGGCCGGGCCGGACACAGGTGACACGGGATGTGTGTGTGTGTTTGTGTGTATTAAGTGGAAAACAAAGCAAGCAGACAAGACAGAGTCTCCCAAATGGGGATTTAGTTTACCAAGCTTCTGTAAACAAGAGAGGAAACTTTGGAAAGCTACGAGGAAGTAGGAAGAGAAAATGAACAGGTGCCTGTAAAAATAGATTTCCCTGAGCTGATAGGAGCGGGTCACTGATTATGGTTTTCTCCTTCAGTGCTCACTTTTGGAACACGGCTAATGAACATTTTTTCAGGCGGCGCATTGTTAAACTATGGAACTCACTCCAGCAGGAAAAAGGGATGACCTGCTTTAAAAGAGTATTGGATCAAATCATGGAGGAGAGGGGTTTTGATGGCTGCTTAGCACAATGGCTATGCTCTGCCTCCAGAACCTCCTAGTGTCTCTATTTTTCGGGGATGGTCCTGGATTTGCAGAAGCCATCCTGGTTTCTGATTTCATAGAATCATAGAGTTGGAAGGGACCCTAAGGATCATCTAGTCCAATCCCCTGCATTGCAGGAAGAGGCAGCTGTCCCATACAGGGATCAAACCTGCAACCTTGGCATTATCAGTGCCGTGCACTAACCAACTGAGCTATCACGGAATGTGATACAGGGCTGCCTTGAGATGTCTTTTAAGAGTTGTATAGTTCCTTATCTCCTTGGCTCGGGGGGTCGCATAACTCCATACCCTCTGATATTTCTCTGATGAAAATAGGGATGCCCTAAGGATGTGGGTGGTGCTGTGGTCTAAACCACTGAGACTAGGGTTTGCCGATTGGAAGGTTGGCGGTTCGAATCCCTGCGACGGGGTGAGCTCCCATTGCTCGGTCCCAGCTCCTGCCAACCTAGCAGTTCAAAAGCACATCAAAGTGTAGGTCAACAGGTACCGCTCCGGTGGGAAGGTAAATGGCGTTTCCGTGCGCTGCTCTGGTTTCACCAGAAGCGGCTAAGTCATGCTGGCCACATGACCCGGAAAAACTGTCTGCGGACAAATGTCGGCTCCCTCGGCCAGTAAAGCGAGATGAGTGCCACGACCCCAGAGTTGTTTGTGACTGGGTTTAACTGTCAGGGGTCCTTTACCTTTACAAGGAAAAACTGGACATTTTGGTATCAAGTCAGAAACTGGGACGGCTTCTGCAAATCTGGGACTGTCATGGGAAAATAGGGAACACAATGTTGCACATGGCTCAAGAGCTTTTGCCTGGCTAGGATGAGGCCCTGAATTGGGATAATGCCTCTTGCTTGCTTAGATGGAGAGACACATGTGCGTTTGTGGAAAACCCTGGGCATATTTCCTGGCCGGATTGTATGCTACTGTTGCAAGACAAGAGATGTATCAGTTGCTCCACTTAACATTGTTTCTGCTGAAAGCTTGAACAAGTGGGGGGCGGGGGGGGAGGGGCTGAGTCCACCTTCCAGGCTGAAAATGTTTCCCCACCCCTGTTCAAAGGCTTTTAGGTCATTGAACCGGGACTCTTCTTTCACTTTCTCCTCACAAGCCTCGAGATTCACAGACAAGGCCATCTGAAACACGGGAAGTTTCATAGGCCCTACTATTTCTGAACTCTGTCAAAGAGGTCAAAGTCCCTGGAAGGCTGCAGTTCATGAAAGTTGCCGCTCACACCAGACTGTGATTTTTTTATCATAATCATTTGCATGCTTTACAAGGATTTTATATATTAGTGCTGCCATATGTCCAGAATTTCTCGGGCATATCCGGGATTTATCAGGCGGACGGGATTTCTGGGGAAATGTCTGGTCTGGGGAAACCCAGGCGTATGGCAACCCATGTTGGAAGTGTTGATTTTTTTTGGCGAATTTCCTAAAAAACAGCTCAAAAACTTCATTTTTTTGTTTGTTTGAGATTTTGCAAAAACTTTTGTGCCCAGATTTTCACTTTTAGAAATATGTATATGGTTTTAATTCCATTAATGCTTATTTTTTAAAAAATGATTGTCCTTTCTATGTTTTTAGCACTTCTTGTTTTTATCTGTAAGTTGCCTTGCGTCCTGTCATGGAAAAAGGCAGGGGATAAACAACAACAACAACAACAACAGGTTTGTTGGTGTCAAGGTTTGGGCAATTTCTAAAGCCTTTAAAAGCTGTCACACACCTTTCTGCTGCGTCCTCGCCTCCTTGCAGAGCGGGGATACTCTGTGGCAACAGAAAAATAAAGATCTTCCTTGCTTTCCTTCTACGGGTCCTTGCCTCTACTCATTCTTCACTGACTGATAATGGACTTAGGGGACCCCGATCCGCTTGGGGAGTTGTGCTGTAAAGGCCAACCCCAGATTTCCATACAACGATTGCTCTGGGAAAGACTGCCAGCCAGGGCATAAAATGCTCAGGGGAGTAGCTCAGTTGGTAGAGCATGAGACTCTTAAATCTCAGCTAGACGGGCCAATGGCCTGAATCTGAAACAGCACCATAATACTTTGACCAGTTGTGGCTTCCTCCTTAAGGCATCCTGGGGGATGTAGTTTGTCCAGGGGGTTAGGAGACCCTGGCTCCCCTCCCAGAGGAAAAAATTCCTCCTAGAGATCATCAGTCCCTCAGTGCTGCTTCATTAACAGCAGCGAGATTAAAGGAGAGCCTCTCCACCCTCTAATTTTTTTAAATTTTTATTTCTAAAATTTCACAAATAAAATACAATCGACCAAACATTTACCAATATACATTCACTTTAAAAAGTCAACTCCCCCCCCCCACCTTTCCCTGGTTTTCTCCTGATTTATCTTGTTCTGCTACATATTATAAATAATCTATACCCTTTCCCCCTCAGCTTTATTATTGAAATAACTTTTACTGCTGAACTTACTCCAAACCTGCTAGCGGGCTAACACATTTACAACTTTTTAAAAAAAGAATCTACAAACATTTCCCCTTTCCTCCATGAAAACTGTTTCATTTAGTCCTCTGTTTTTACTAGTTAAACTTGCTAATTCTGCATCTTCCATCAATCTCTCCACCTTTTCTCTAGATCAGCCCAGTGGGCTTTCCCTCAGGGGCACAGTTACCCCATTCAGGACCTGGGAGTCCCCCACACCTGCCCACCCCCTGTCCCCCCAAAACAGTACTTCTGTCTTGTCAGGATTCAACCTCAATCTGAAACAAAACTCCTGCTCACCACGGGGCATGCACAATGTGGCAGCTGGGGGCTGGCAGAAGTGTTTACTGTAATCTTACACTCTGCACGGTAGCTAGGCAAACGGGTTTTGATAAAACCGCAAGCAAACATGCACATTCCCTTTTAGATTTCCCCATAGGATCCTGTGCGCAAAGCACTAGAGGTGGGTGTATTTATTTTAATCCTGCCCCACAAAGAATTGTGAGGAGGGGGATGTACGCACTCTGTATCTTGTAGCTGCAGCCTCCGAGGAGATGCTGTGAGCAACTGCGGCTGCTAAGGTCAAAGCGGTCGGCGTTCGAGTCAGAGAAAGTTCCGAGTTGGAAAAAGAAACTTCCTTCAACTCTGGGATCACTTCAGGGCTGGGAATTCTGCTCAGCAAAACTCTCAAGGCTCTTGGCGCTCGGTTCGTTCTGGAATGGCATCTCCATGGTCTGGCTCGTTCAATGCCGGGGTCTACCTGGCAGGACTGTTGGGAGGATAAAGTGTGGAGGAGAGACGAGTCCTGTGGGATCTGGCCAATTGCCCATCTAGTCCAGCAACCTGTTCTCACAGTAGTCAACCAGATGTCTATCATAAAGGTAAAGGTACCCCTGACCGTCAAGTCCAGTCGCGGACGACTCTGGGGTTGCGGCGCTCATCTCGCTTTACTGGCCGAGGGAGCCGGCGTACAGCTTCCTTGTCATGTGGCCAGCATGACTGAGATGCTTCTGGCGATCCAGAACAGCGCACAGAAACGCCGTTTACCTTCCCGCCGGAGTGGTACCTCTTTATTTACTTGCACTTTGATGTGCTTTTGAACTGCTAGGTTGGCAGGAGCAGGGACCGAGCAACGGGAGCTCACCCCGACGCAGGGATTCAAACTGCTGACCTTCTGATTAGCAAGTCCTAGGCTCTGTGGTTTAGACCACAACGCCACCCGCGCCCCATGTCTATCATAGGAAACCCTCAGCCAGGGTTCTCCCCACTTGTGATTTCCAGCGACTGCCTTTGCTCATGGAGGGTACATGCAAACCTAAAAAGAGCCCTGCAGCTGGATCAGGCCAGGGGCCATAGGTGCAGCCGGGAAGGGGGGGGAGCAAGGTGGAGCTTTCCCCTCCCTAAACAAAATAAATAAAGAGAAATACTTAACTGAAAGTAGAAATTGTGGAAAGATTTGGACAGATTTTTCGGAGCGCTAGGGGTCAAAAGAAAGTAATTTAAAGCAACTGTTGTTGAGGCATTTCATTCCAAATCTGCTGGACAGAGCCAGACAAATGATGATGACAGGAGGCTGACCTCCCACCACTAACATATATCCTGGCTAAGTCCATCTAATTCAGCATCTTCTCACAGTGGCCAACCAGATACCTCAAAGGGAAACTCACAAGCATTGTGAGGTTGAGAGGCAATGAATGGCCTAAGGACACACCTGGTGAGTTTCATGGCCACGTGGGGAAATTGAACCCTGGTCTCTCCCAGGACCTAGCCTGACACTCTAACCACTACACTACACTGCTTCTCCAGAGCTAACTGGCTCGTGCTGTTTTCCACCCACACGCAACCCCTCAAACAAACCTGTTTTTGTATTTATTTATTTTTGCTGCATCGGAGAAAGCAAAACCAGCACCTTAACAGCTCCTTTTTGTGCCTCCAACCCTCTTTTTTGTTTTCTGAGCAGCAAAACGCCTTTGATGTCTCTCGCTCGCTCGCTTCATCCCCCAAGATCCCCATGCAAAAAAAAAAGTCAGCAATATTTTCACTTCTTGCTGCCTGAACTCCAGGAGGAGATTTCTGCCATTTTCTCCCTTAAGGGATAAGATAGGCCTTTGATGGGGTCTGCAAACAAGGCACTTCTCGTTTGCTGGCAGGGTACCGCTTTGCTGTTCCTCCTGCTCATTTCACCCCCACCCCTACCCCAAATACGTGAAAACAAAGTCAAGATCCAAAGCGGAGCATCTTAGCCTCCGCCATCAGCAATTCAGATTAGGAACTCCCGCATTGTAACTGAGAATCAGGTTGTCTTTAAAGCAGCAAGCCAAGGTTTCATCTTCTACTCAGGGCATTAAACCTAAAGAGGACCTGGGAACACTTAGTGCATTTGCCAGTGAGAAAGGCTTGCTGTTCCCCAACTATTCTTTAATAAGGGAGCTTTGCAATGATCTAGCTAGAGCAAGGAATATGGGGACATGGAACTGACTAGCAGGCCTGATCCTTATCCACTGTGGGCCAAATCTGGCTGGCCTGTGGGGCCGCCCACTAGTCAATATCACAACAAGAACATAAGACGAGCCTGCTGGATCAGGCCAATGGCCCGTCTAGCCCAGGTGCCCCAGTGGGAAGACCACAAGCAGGATTTGAGCACAGCAGCAAACTCCCCTCTTGAGAGTTCCAGACACTGGAAGTATCTGGAAGTATTGGAGGCAGAGCTTTTTCTTCTTCTTTGGCGATCATTCATAGCCAAGTAAGATTGTCTTCCATGAACACGGTTTTAACAG